AAATCAAAGGCATCAGTGGGATGCTTTATGGAAGTGAATCTTTGGTGTCCAGCGTTGCGCAAGGTGTTGATCCCTAAGCGGGAGTGTCGCGATTTCATCTCCTTGTTGGATACCATCAGATCATCCTTCAGCAACCTTGTCCTTCATCCCTTGCAGAAACCCATTCCCTGGTACCTGTGTCTAGGCGGCAGGCGTACTACAAGTACAAGTGATCTTATGTAACATTTGAGAGATCGGTCTCTCTGCTGATCAGTGTCCCTTTGACTAATTGTTGAATGTGTATGTGACGTGACTGTGAGGTATCTGAAGCGCAGCCTTCTCAAGGCTGGCTGGAAGCTCACAGACAAGAGCGGCAAACTCTGCATGATCTCGAGATGCAGGTTCTCCTAGCTGAGACGTTGAGTTTCAGATTAGTAGTAGGCAAGGCGTGTGTGATAGACTAGATGAGACTTGATTTGACTTGTGGAATGCGACGTGTGTAAAACACTGCCGTGTCACAAGGCTATCAGTCAGTTATTGCTATTTTTGTTGCTAGTGGCTTTGGGCGGCCCGGCGAACCATACAAGCCGACCAATCGGTCAGGTTCACTAATTCAGGTTTTGAACCTGGCTTAACTGCTGGGCTGTTAGCCTGCAGAACTTAGATCACTTAGATCTGATTATTTGAGTACAGTAAGAATCAAACAGTCGAGTCAAATGGGTCAAAATTGTTTGTGTTTTGCACTTTTCAGAATGCTAGATTGCCACACATCAGCAAACACGTTTCTTGTTGAAGTTAACTTAACTTCTCCATTGGAAGGAGTTGTGGGTGCAATCGGACCAACGCAGCAGAGAACTGGTCAGGACGGTTGCCAGAGATACAACATGATGTTGACAAAGCATCACGCATGAAGTCCTCTGCCGATAAACATTACAAAGCACCATGTTGGAAGTTTGGGTACTGTGCACGAAGTGGCTTGAGGGCACGCCAATTTGTGCTGCACAGAACACTCATACGAGCGCTCATTGGGCAAGTGCAATCTATGTGTAAAAGCAACACGGTCAAGAATCTCGGAGTATGTGAACAAAGAACAACTTAATAATGTCTGTTATATGTCGATCATCATCATCATTATCTTTTTGAATTTATTTAGCCATAGTTCATATTCATAGGCATAGTCAGTCACATCATAAATTCGACCAAGGATGGCGCAAGATGCAATGAGATCAGGCGACATTCTGTTCAAGGTCAAGGCTGTCTTCAATCCTCCCAATGCTGACCCTATTGAAGAGGTGACACATTATTGTATTGGAAAACCATTTTTTCAGGCCGCAACTCTTGATCCTGTGCAGAGCTGTAGGCAATCCACCAGACCTTAAAACTGTCGCAGTCCATGATGATGGACAAACAGAGTTCTTTTTCTGTACAAGCATGCAGCTATGTGCGGATTTGTTGAAGCGTGAAGCCATAGAAGTGCGCGTTTCCGTGGAGCGATATGAGCTTCGTGGATTGAATTGCTTGCGGTTGGTGGATGATGCTGCCAGCAACATTGAGCCGCAGCCAGTGTGTCTTGTTTTAACTTTAACTAAAAGCAATTCTTAATCTAAAGGTGTGCAAGTGCAACCAAAGGTTACAGTGTTATGGCTTTTAGCAAACAACTTTGGATAGTGTTGTGGTGTGTGATCGTCAGGTGGCCTGTTGAAGAAGTTTGCAACGCCGATGAGGATCCATTGGATGCCCTTGACACCTCAACCCAGGCTCATTGTCTTGAGTCACATTGAGCATCATATATATATATATAGTATACCGTTATATAATGCCTATCGTAATAATCAGCAGTTCTTTTTGTGATTTGAATGTAACTTTGACTTCAATTGTTAACTGCGGCCTGGTTAGGACAGCGATGACGTATTGGATCCAGGAGAGCCGATTGACCAAGACCTTTTAGAAGAGCTTGTTGTTGATGAGGTTGTAGCTCAACAGGATAGAAAAGAATTTGTTTGTGTGAGACCAAGTTCAGCCACGGAGGGCAATTCAGGCGTGTTGAGCAGGATAGGCAACACCATCAAGAGAGATGGTGTAGTTTGTGGCACGATGTCTTATCTTCTCCGTTGGGAGCCAGCAAGCTTTGCAGCGAACTGCAAAATTCACGAAGGTTGCTATGTCACTGCTGCAATGACAGCAGTGGATGAAAGCGAATTGGAGGAATGGCTAGCAAAGGTTTCACGCTTTTATAGCGCAGAGAACCATATTGCTGCAAAGCCTCTTGCCGCCTACAACAAGCGGAGGTTGTGATGAAAACAATGTATCAACAATCCGACATGCAATACCATTGCTGTTGGCTGTCAATCTTTGCTTGTGAAACAATTACAACTGGTGAGTCAACATGTGGTTACTTTGTTTATGTTTGGCAACTGCCGCTGCCATTTCTTGGTTTGATAGCCTCTTCAAAACAGAGACCACTTTCAT